GGGGGACCCCCGGGGGCCCCCAAGGGCCCCCAGAAACCCTCAGGGGGCCCCTGGAGGCCCCCAGGGGACCCGAAAAACCCTCAGGGGGCCCCACGAGGCCCCCAGGGGTCCCCAGAAACCCTCTGGGGGCCCCCAAGGGCCTCTAGGGGCCCCCAGGGGCCCCCAGGGGCCCCCAAGGGACCCCCAGGGTTTTGTGTGAGGGCCTACATTTAAAGGGAGACAAGTTATGCTGGGGTGGGTCTTGAGGGCCCCCAAAAGCCTCGGGAAGAGGGGGGCCCCCTGGATAGAGGCAAAGAGAGCAGCAGCAAGGGGGGCCCCCAGCAGCAAGCTGCAGAGGGCAGTCAGCAGGGCCTGCGCAGATGCCGCAAACCCTAAACCCTAAACCCTAAACCCTAAACCCTAAACCCTAAAGAGCATTAAACCCGCGCATTTTCGGGGTCTATGGACACATGAGGCGCTCCTAAACACCTTGAAAAGAACCGCTAGCTGCATCTACTGCAGCTACAGCAGCAGCAACAGCTGCTGCTGCTGCTGCTGCTGCTGCTGCTGCCTCACCTGCCTTGGGGCCTCCGCATCCGCCCCAAGAAATTCAACTGTCTCCCCAGCTCGCCAGGGGCCCCCCAATAGGGCCCCCAGGGCCCCACAGGAAACGGGGTACGATTGAAGTTGGGGGGCCCCCCTTGGGGGCCCCCCTAGGGGCCCCTCTGGGGGCCCCCCTTGGGGGCCCCTTGGGGGGCCCCACCCCGCCCACTCTAGCCCTGAGAGGGGCCCCCATAGGGGAGGGTACTGAAATACCCCCTTGAGCTGCTCTGGGGGGGCCCCCGCGGGCTCGGGGTCCCCCAAGAAGATTCCAGTGGGGGCCCCTAATGCAGCTGAATCGGCCATGCAGAGCTGCTGCTGCTGCTGCTGCTGCTGTTGCTGCTGCTGTGTGGGGCGCTCTGCTGATTGAAGTGAGAGCGATTTCCGAAGACGAAAAGGCAGGTCCCCTGCCCAACCCAAAACCCTAAACCCTAAACCCTAAACCCTAAACCCTAAACCGCATTTTTTGCACGCCCGGGGCCCCCCATGTCCTTCCTAATAAAAACAAAAGTAAACACATCCACCAAATCAACTACAAACGTGGGGCCCCCTTGGGGCCCTCGGGGGCCCCAGGGGCCCCCTGGGTCCCTCCGGGGGCCCCTTG